GAATCACACCCAAATCTTTGATGTGTTTTGATGTTACTGTACCAATTGAAGGCATTTGAACCTTACGGTGATGTCTTTCCCATGTAGGATAATTTTTCTCTAATTTCGTATCTTGTTTTCTCACTCTAGAATGATATTACTATAGCTAGAATGCTTTATAATGATAGCTTCGCTTTTGTTCAAAATTACAAAGTTACGTTCTCCGTAAAATTCCATTTTTTAAGTCTAGTCTTTTTTTAATCGAGCATGTTGCAATCAGCTTCTCTTTACTGCATTTTCAGCATCTATCTTCATTTGTTCGGTTTATTCTCTCATTGTATCAGTTGTAGTTCTTTATTTTCTTTAAAAATGTTTCTGTGGGCTGCTGTTGTTAATTCTTGCTGTGATGTGAAGTTAGACCAGCGATATTAAGTTGTAGAGGATAATATTTTGCTCTTGATTCATACTCAGTCAAAGTCTCTTTGTTTAGTTCGGGTGCTTCTCTATGTAGCGATTTGTGATATCTAGTTTGATACCAACACTTCAGAAATCTATCATTTCATGTTTCAGTTTAGATTTCCCCGTCTATTATGGTGTAAGAAATGTTCTATTTATATAGATCTTACTAATATATTTGTTGCTCAATAGTTGCCGTAACTCATTTATAACAGTAGTATTTCTTCAGCTTTCGCGTATCTGTTTTATAATGATATCGTATCCTGCTTGCTCCATTCCTTGCTAATAAGTTACTAAGGTTAATGTGCTTTTCTAAATTAGCATTACTTATTAGATTCTTGTTTAAATGTTGGTGCTTAAGTCAAGATTTCTTCAAACCTTGTTTAGTTTTGTTTGGCGAATGTTTTCTTTAAAAAATGGAGTCATGAGTGCATTTGCTGATATGATACTCCAGTAGGTATATGCTATTTTATATAGTTTTCCTTGTGAACGCGTTTGGTGTGATTTTTTCCACTCATGTGTTACAGGTTCTCTACAAATTAAACATCCCTTTTTATGCAATTTTGAGCTGATAATATTCATTACTCATTTCTTTGTATGCATGATACTTGAGTCCATGAATGGACTCATCTTTGCATTATGTTGGGGCTGATTAGCCCAACCTCCTACTCGAGTCGGCCTTCATCCTTGTTCGGATTTTGGATGTTTTGATACACAAGGCAAGAGAAGCAAGAAATACATGGAAAAAGCTGATATAGCTGATATATCAATACACTGATATACAACTGATGTACTTGAGTCCATTCATGGACTCTCTCTCCTCTTTTGCTCCTCTATTTGTTTTGATTATGTTTTGACTAATTTTATTTTACTCCATCTTGAAATATTTTAACTAACTTAACCCCAAAAGATGAACTATATTTTTTATGTTAGTTTATTTTAATAAAATTTTCATTTTTAATCAACTCTTATACTTTTATTGAATATCTTTAGTCAAAACTTTAATTAATTTAAAATGATTTTCATGCTATAACTAACTAAATTTGTTTAAATTATTTCTTAAAATGATTTAAATAAATCTTAATTAATCTAGTTTTGCCAAAATTCTAACTTAATTCAAAAATTTCAATTAACATCCCTTTTCTTAAAAATAAAAAAAATTGTTCTTTGTTTAGCTTCTTTTTTTTCCGAATTAATATTGTAAAATTTTATTATCATTTTCCTAAAAAATAGTCAAAATATATATTAACCAAATCGTAGGATCTTTTACCAAAATATATATTAACCAAATCGTGTGTTAGCGGGCGCTTCAAACACCTTAGAAACCTTCTTGAAGCTTAATAAGAAGAATCTTTTACCAATTTTCTCTAAATTTTTAAAGATTTAATCAGTTAGAGTCTTTTTAAATTATAAGTTTTCTTAATTTCTTTAAAAAATTAAGTGACGACTCTTTTCTTAAGTATTTTCCCAAAATGTTTTATACTTCGAATATTTTAAAAAAGTGATTTTTTTTAAAGATAGTAAAATTACGGCATAACATGGGCTATAAAATAGTATGTGGTTAAAAAATCGTTGATAAAATCAAGTATCCCAATTGCCAAAGTGGCTTGCATCCACTTCTTTTCACTGTCAAATAAAGGTGAAAAGTTGTTCTTAGTTCAATCAAGATTCATGATACGATTCAAAAAATGACTTTATGCAAATATCCAAATCTTACCAACCATGAAGGCAATCATGATGTGGAAATCTACATCGAAAGCCTAGTTTGTCCTTTTTCAACGGAAGGGACAGAGGATTAACAATAACACTATTGTGATCTATCTCCAAGAAAGTAATATCCAACTCAACAATATGGTAAACAGGAAGAATATGGTAACAATAACACGATTGTGATCTATCTCCAAGAAAGTAATATCCAACTCAACAATATGGTAAACAGGAAGAAACAAGATAATAACAATGTGACAAATGCAGTTAAGCTGCTGCTAACAAGAACCAACTAACAGCCAACCTCGGCTAGTCGCGAATACTGTTTGGAATCTATGTGAAACTAACATAAGATAAGCTGATTGAGAACACGGCCAACTCTTTCCTTTCCAAACTCGTGTGGTTGGTCATTCACAACCTTTTCGACTTCTAATCTGCAAAAGAAGTTCAAACCAGAAAACAGGAAAGAAAAATCAGTTACAGCTTGAAAGTTGAAAAAATAATACAACATGATCACAATTTTCAAAATGTGAAACAATAAATAGTAGAGAAAAATACAGTTATGGAAAGCTAACAGAACTACAGAAGAGCAGTGACAAAGAACACATAATAAACTCGAATGAAGAAATAAAATTACCTCCAGAAACATTAAATACACTGCACCAATATCCTTGAAATTCAAAAAATTAAATAAGAATTGTTTTTGGATACACTGACCCATATCCTTGCAAGGACGGCTGGGACTAGATATTAAAATTAAATAAGGAATTTTTTTGGATAAACTTAACTCTCCATATCCTTGAAATTCGAAAAAACATTAGATCACAAAAATCTAGCGCAGTCTTATCCTGCATTTCTAAGCAGGATAAAAATGGTCATTTTATTTTTGAGCTGAAAAACCCTTCAAAGTGCAACTCAAATGGAACCTGAATTCTCCGATGATACTCAATTTCCTTCAAATTTAGTGCAAGATTCAATCTTGACAATTCCTGTTCTGCCACCAGAAATCACTGAAATTCTCTTGAGGCTTCCAGTAAAACCCCTCTTGAAATTCAAGTCGATTTCTAAATCTTGACTTGCTTTAATCTCTAGTACTAACTAAATTTATCAAAACTCATCTCAATGAATAAGGACGACACCCACCATGTACTTTTTTTGGATGTTGGTGAAGAGAAATGTGATTATAAAGAATGTCCTCTTAAATCTTTATTTCATAACTCTGTTGCCGAGGCTATTGAAATGGATTTTTCCATTGAAAATGACATTCATGGGCTCTATGCTATGGGTTCTTGCAATGGATTGGTTTATCTTGCCCGTTCTTGTGAAGGATATTCCCTTTTGTGGAATCCTTCAACTAGATAGCACAAGGATTTGCCTCTTTTTAGACAGATCGGAAAAACACAAATGTGTTGCATATGGTTTTGGATATGATGAACTCCATGATGATTATAAGATAGTGATTTAAGATATTCATATATAGTCTACTAACTGTCATGACAGTCAATATGCCCAATTCTACCTTGAAAGCCTAGTTTTCCCTTTTTCAACCCGAGGGACAGAGAATGCAGAAAAATAATACTATTCTCTGTGGTGTACAAAATAGTACTGAACTGAGTAGATTAGAATATGAATAGTTTTGATATTGTTAATGTCATAGTTTATACCATGCATACAAATAGTACTGAATAAAATGTATAAGTAAATATTGATATTTGTTGTACCAGGCTTAAATTTACAACCAAACATTGTACTAAAATTTAGTACCAATATTATTCTACCTAATTATACACCTTATCAAACGACCCTTTTATATATGTAGCATCTAAAATATAATTCAGAGCTAGATAAAAATTGAGTAGCTTGTGTGGTAATTTCATATGTCGGTCACGGAGTAGGAGAGTTTCATTGGTATTTCTATGCAGACAAGTTGTAATTGAACAAAACTATTCTCTGTTGTGTACAAACTTACTAGGCTCAACATTTAGCAAACAAAACTAGTATTAGAAACTGTTTGCCTTGTTTAAGCAAAAAAGACGAGCTCCATATCGATACCAGCTACATTTGGGACATGACAAAAGTGCTACTCATTGATCTGAAATGTCACAAGCAGTACTCATGCCAATCTCAACAACAATATAACCATTGTAATCGCACAGGTGGGGTCTGGAGAGGATAGAATGTAAGCAGACCTTACCCCTAACCTCGGCACAACAATTTGTTACCAAAAACAGGCACTCATGTCAATCACATGATCATATTATGCTGCTGAAACGTAGTAGTTAGGTGATTTACATATCAAGAAACCATGACCTGCCTCGAGTAGATACAACAAACAAGAATCCCTGTCCCTGCACTCACCCGCACTTTGGTTTCACTCTAGTGCTTCCTCAATTGAATGGCTCACAACAAATGCAAATCAACAAATATAACATACAGAGACTATTAACATTCATATATCAATATATAGTTGATATATAAGTGAATGCAGGTCTGTCAAACTATTAACATCTTTTTCCACAAGGATTAGCTATTTTTCCTTTCAGTTACTTGGGTCAAAATTCCAAAATATCAATACATAGTTGATAGCATGACATATAGAGATAAGAGGCATCGACATTTATAGACGTGAAGTATTAAATAAATCAATGAAGTGAGTTGAGAACCACGAGGTCTCAGGTTCAAATCCCAACAGAGACAACACAAACACTAGGTGATAGACAAATTTACATGTTGCTGGTGGGAGGAGACAGGTATCACAAGAAAATATACATCTAGTGATTAGCTGCAAGGACTTGTTCTATATTTGAACTAACAAACAGAAATTGAAAGAACTTGAGAAGAAAAAGTACTCTTACAAATTATTTGTTTCTCAATGGTTTTGATCTGAGCTTTTTCCCCCTTTGTTTTGTTGCTTTCTCTGTCACTTCAGTTGAAAAAGGACAAACTAAACTTTCAACGTATATTGTCACTCCATGAAAGTCATTGCAGTTAATAACATGTGGATATCTGAATGCGTCATCTTTTGAATTGTACATTATGGAAGTAATTGTTCCTAACGTCGCCAACATTTCACCATTATTTGACATGAACAGGGGTGGATATAAAACTTGCTTAATTGGATACGTGATGGTAAACTTCTTTATCCAAGACTCTTTAACCCCGTATCCATTCATAACCCAAACACCTAACTGAGTTTCGTTGTAATCCCTAAAGACACAAAGATAACTTCCCAACGTTCCCATATACAAATCAGTCTCTCCTACTCCATATGAGGGCTTCTCCACCTTTTCCCATTTCTCATTAGCTAAATCAAAATAAATAATTTCCCTGCACCTACACACATCACCGGGATTAGGACCAAAAGTAATCGTATCCCAGTGAAGCTTCTCATTCACAAAAAAACCTGAATAAGCTAATCTCATTTTTCTATTAGAGTCTGAAGTATTTAATATCTCCTCACCAATATAATCCACACTAGTCCAAGAATCACTTTTTAGACTATATATTTTGACCTCCCCACCATCTAAACCACAACGATTATAAAAAATACCCAGTACCTTATAATCGTCACGGAGCTCATCATATCCAAAACCATATTCGACATAGTACTTCTTCCATCTAGGTCTAATATCAGGCAAATTCTTGTGCATTCTAGTAGTTGGATTCCATAAAAGCGAACATTCTAAATAATCTGCAAGGAAAATCAATCCATTGCAAGAACCCAAAACATTGAAAAGTTTACTGTTGTCTTCAATGGGATACTTCAAGTCGAAAGCCTCAGTAACAGAGTCATTAAATAAAGACCTAAAAAGACATTCTTTGAAATTCCCCTTATAATATCTACTCTGACCAAAAATAAGCACATGGTGGGTGTCTTCCTTGTTATTAGCTGATAAACTGAGATGGTTTTTGATAAATTCACCGCTAGAGATTAAAGTAAGCCAAAATTTCGATACAGACCTGAATTTCAAAAGGGATTTCACTGGAACCCTCAAAAGGATTTCAGTAATGAGTTCAGGTGGCAAGATTTCTGTAAAGTTCAAATCTTTCATTGAATTTGATGGAAATTGAGCTCTTTTTCTGCGATTGGAGGCTTTAGAATCCGTTTGAGTTGCAGAAATTTTGAGTTGTGATTACAAAAAAAGGCTCAAATATGGGCGGAGCGGTGTTAAAGTTTTGCCCTGATTTTCTTACCATATTTTAAGTTTTATTTTTGTTTAAAGGAAAATCAAAGTATAACCATAAATACTTGAACTTTTTCTGAAAGTATAATCTCTTTCATATTTGGTTTATTCTTTCTTGAGAGAAAAAAGTTTGGAAAATTGAATATCATTCTTCTCATATCAATAATATAATAATATCCATAATATAAACGTTTAAGAGTTTAGTTTACAGGGAGATTATATTCCCAATAGAGTTTATACTTTTTAATATTAGTTTTCAATATGTAGGTCGCGTAAGTCGCTTGACCAAACCATATTTATGTCTTTAGTATACTTTTATTTGTTGTCTGATTTATCAACCATATGATTTGTAATTGTTAGCTTACGCTGCCCTAATCACTTTCGAACCCAACAGGCGGATGCGGGGAGGGGTGGGTGTAAGGCTATGCGGGGCGGAGCGGGTTCAAGGTTGTGCAGGGTGGGTTGAAGTGGGTTTTCTTAAAACTAATGCGGGACGAGTATATGTGATTTTATGCGGGTTCAACCTTAATTTTAACTTTTTACATGTAATAAGAGTGATAAAACATTATTTATTAAAATATATTTTTTAAAACCATTAGAATATTCAAGATAGTAAATGAAATTTATTATATGTTCTCAATTGACCTCTAAAAAATAATTTTTTAAGTCATTATCTATTAAATTAATACAACTTAATAAAAAATGAATTTTATTTTTAGTATCAAATTAACTAGAAAAAGAAAAATATTAATAAAATTATGCGGGGCGGGTCTATGCGGGTTGAAAATGAAAAAAAGTTGTTATGCGAGGTGGATTAAAATTTTTGCGGATTAAGGTCAACCCGCCTCTCCCCGCACCGCATCACCCCATTGCCATCCCTAATCAAACTTTGAGAAAGCCTTTTTTTCTCAAAATTCGATGACATATTTGAGCTTTTTTTCCTACTTTTATTTAGACTAGTTTCTGAACACGTGCGTTGCACGTGTTTCAAACAAGTAGTATACACGATAAAAGTTATATTAAAACCATAGTGTAATCAATAACGAAAAAAAGGTACAAACTAAAATTGATGAACGTAACACTCATCCAATTTGAATGACTTCTTCGTTAAGCGATAAATGATTAATTACTATCAGAACTAAAAAATTGAATAACTATATTTAGTTAGATAAGTAAAATGTATAAAATGAGTTACATTTTAATGTTATTAGGTGCAAATATTTTGTTTATAAAGAAGTATTAGTATTAAATATTTGCACCTAATAACATTAAGTATTAAATTTCATGACATAATATTTGACTAGTGAATTGTGATGCTTATACCAAATAGCAAAACAATGAATCTGAAATATTTAAACAAAAAACTTAGATATGATATTTAAAATATTTAAAACTTCTTGTTAAAATTTACAAAACGCAAATAATATATGCTTATTAAGAATTTAAAACTAATTGTTATAATCTTAACAATTGTGCATGGAAACAAAAACACCCAAACAAATGAAATTCCAATACATGTGAAATCAAAGTATTGTAATTCTAATTAACCAAATATGCCATGCATAGGATTAATGATGATAAAAGGTTATAGCCAGTAATCAACATGATGAGGAGCTAGCATCAATCAATGCGTTCAAATAACACCATTTCTTTAGATGATATAACTTATTTGTAGAAAGCTTTGTATCATAAAGAATTGTAATCAAATTATACTATAACAATGAATTCATTTATGTCAACTATGATCAACCTTCCGGAGAAATCAAGCCCTCCACGATCAAAGATTAATTATCACAAAAAACGGTGTAATACTGATAGTTGAAAGGGAGGAGAGATGGTGATTTTGACCATAATTTATCTCGGAAGATTATATTATATTATAGCTGATAATTCAAGAGTAGTAAAAATTGAATATGACATCTAGTCTAATTTGGCATCAACAATCTTACATATATACTTCTCATCTCTTCTTTTATGCAAACTATTAGAAGGCATAAAAAACAATGAAATCGAAGATAAAATAATTTGCATTCAATCTTAAAAGTTACAAAGAGGAGATGGGAAATTAGTAAACTCATTTAGCCTTTATATAATGTTTTTCCCAGTCCTTTGAAATTTCATTTCATTTATTTACTAATTAATATTCAATTCAACTTTTCAACTTCTTTGTACTTACTTACTGTAGCAATGAAAGGTTGGCCATTGGTTAACGTAACAATTAAATAATTGAACCACCAACGTTTCGTATAAAGTTATGGTTATTATAATTAATAAATGCAAACATTTTCTTTTTATTGTTTGAAATGTGTGTATTTATATTTTTATATTATAAACTTTTTGAAATAATAGTTGCTTGAAGGTTAAAATGATGTTTAACTTTTAATAGACGATTTGGTAATTCAATTTTTCATTTGGAAAGTTTCTACTTGATATAATATGATAATGATCAAAATTTTAATATAAAATGAATAAACCAAAAAATAAACAGGGAAAGAAAGAAAGATGATTGTCATCAATCCCTATTAAATCATTGAATTAAGTGTGATAATTAAAGTATTATTACTCCACTTTCAAATCATCCGTTCAATTCATGTTATTGAAGATTTTTTTAAATTATGGTGTAAATAAAAATTAGTTTATAAAAAATGATTTAGTATAAGGATAAAATGGTAAATCAACTTTGAAGACAAGAGCTTTATAAAAAATGATTTAGTACAAGGGTAAAATGGTAAATCAACTTTGAAGACAAGAGCTTTCCACTTTTAATAATATATTATGATATATGATATGTATAGATATAATCTATTTTTGCCCTATTTGTGTGTCACCTCTCCATAATTGGGATATATATAATTTTCAAGAACAATTACTATTAAATGGTCAGACATTTGTAAATGATAGAAATAGAAATGGAATGTGTCCTTCAATGAATTATCATTGCCAACAAAAATCATGACTGAAATTCTATCAAGGCTTTCGGTGAAATCCCTCTTGAAATTCAGGTGTGTTTCTAAATCTTAGTTCTTGCAATGGATTAGTTTTTCTTTGAGATGAAGAAAATGATTTTTCCTTTTTATGTAATCCAACCATTAGAAAGCACAAAAAATTGCCTTTTTCTACATCTAGATGAAAACAATACCATTTCACATATGGTTTTGGGTTTGATGAGCTAAATGATGATTATAATGTAGTGGTATTTTTTTTATAATTATATTAATGACGATTCAGATGACGTTGTCGTCAAAGTTTATAGTCTAAAGATCGATTCTTGGACCAGTGTTGATTATTGTAGGGAGACATTCTTTATCAAAAAAACTGTTGATAATTATGGGATAAGATGGAGACATCATTTCTTTTGATTTAGCTAATGAGAAATGGGATAAGATGGAGAAGCCTTCATATGAAGCAGGAGAGACTGAATTGTCTCGGAACGTTGGGAAGTGATCTTTGTGTCTTTTGTGATTACCATGAAACTCATTTAGGTGTTTGGGTTACGAAGGAGTATGGGTTAAAAAATCTTGGATAAAGTCGTTAACCAACAAGTATCCAAATGACCAAAGTGGTTTGCATCCACTCCTATTCATGTCAAATAAAGGTGAAATGGTGTTCTTGATTCAATCAAGATTCATGATATATGATTCAAAAGATGACGATATCCAAATCTTACTAACCATGAAGGTAATCTTGACGTGGAAATCTAAATTGAAAGCTTAGTTTTTCCTTTTCTCAACTGATGGGATAGAGAATAATCCAGCAAAAGAAAGGCGGAAAAAGCTTAGATCAAAACAATCGAGTAACAAATAAATTGTAAGAGTACTTTTTTAAAAAAAAAATCAAATTTGAGCTCGGAGCTCTTTTATTCAATCAAAAAAAACCAAAGTACATGTCCGCTTGGCCCAACTTTAAAATGGAAAGTTAGCCCATATATGACTAGCCTCTTTCTATTTCTAACCCTATTTCCAACTCTTTCCTTAACTTTTGTTTCCAAAATCTCTTCTTTCATGTTTCTAGCTGCGCCGCCTTCTTGCTTCTTCCTTTCATGAATTTTTAGTTTCTCCGCCGCCTCCTTTTAGACCATCAGTGTTCGACCATGGTTGTGTGCCACTACTCATCCTCCACAGCTTCAAAAGGTACTGCACCTGTTTATCTTCCTCCTCCTTTGAGTGTCTAATCTCTCCTTCTTTTGTAGGTATGTGTACCGGTTCAAAGTTCCAGTTGGTCTCTAAGAGGAGCTTAGACAAGTGCTTTGACTTCCATGTCTTAGGTATGCCTCCTTTCCTCTTTCTGCCTTTGCCATGATCTTTGATTAACGTTTCAAGGACACTTCTTCCAATTCTAAGTGTCAACGATCGCTACTCAATATAAAACCCAACTAATGAGTTGGGGTCAAATCCCACAGGGAGTGGTACGTGTCTGAGAGTGAAGTGAGAAGTACGAACATGGTCAAATCAGTCATAGGAATAGAAATTATCGAATAAAAACATCATTCAAATCAGGGGGTGACACAGAATGTCAAATGAGGGGTTTTGGTTTGAAATTATCAACTACAAACAGTGGTAAACAATACGAAATAGCAATAATGAGACGGATTCTTGGGATATGATTCGATTATAGGTTAATATAGACAAATGGGTAATTACAACTATTACAAAATAACTAAATATTAGTGAGTAAGCTAGGCTATGGGGGAGGTAAACTTTCTCTCGAACAATTTACCCCGAATCAAGTCGATTTCTTTCGAACATCAACAAACAAGCAAAATAAGAACAACCCACACCTTAGTCCATTCATTCCCTAGAGCTGAATGTGTGGAATTGGGTTTAGGATTCACTCTCTCGAGTTGAACCCATGACAACCCAATACCCATT